CCAAAACTTGCAAATCCAATTCGCCATCAATTGTTTTATCTTTGTTTTCTTTCGGGTCAACCAATTATCATTCTTTTATTAACAAAGTGCGAAATCCTACATGTTGACTCTATAATTTATTTATAGTGGAAAGAGGAAAGCAATAAATCACAACCCAATGTTCAAATGCCTAGTGTCTAAAACGACTAATTGAAACTTAAACAATTTTTTAGGCGGTTTAGATTCCGATTAGCATTGGTAAGTCTATCCACTGAGATTGAGACAAAGAGAAAACGTTTTATTTACAAAGGACTGTTGAGATGATATATTTTTCTTTCCAATGTGATTCGCACACCTGAGGCAAAAGGATCAATAGTCATCTTGGTAGTTGTGTAACACATGGGAATATTTTCTCGAGTGGCTCAAATATCAGAGATAAATTCCCATTTGTAATCATCCGGAGGCATCCATTTATGGAATATGTACAGCCCTTGCTCGTAAAACTTGACGGTTTGTTTGGTGAGAGTGAGATCCAAGGAAAAATTACAGGGATGTGCTACATCTTGAGAATAGATTCACTGGTCCTGTGATTTGTTCAGAACTTCCTCTAAAGCTATAAATGAAACAAACCAAAACAAAATGTTGATCACAAGGGAATTAAGAATCTAATTGAATACCACAACTAATTCTATTTCTCTACATCTTGAGAATAAAGCCACTGGTCCTTTGATTTATTCAGAACTTCTTCTAAAGCTATATATGAAACAAACCAAAACAAATTGTTGATCACAAGGGAATTACGAATCTAAGTCGGTACCAGAGCTAAATTTTTTTTTCTCTAAAACTATAGATATGGTAAGAAAGTATAGAAACTAAACTAGCAAGTTCTTTGAGTTTTTTTTTGTAAGGTTATAGACAATATAGGGAGAATGACTATACTATTGCTCATAATTTTCACCGTCAGAGTTATCGCCCAAGTCATCAGCAATGTCGCCTTCCTCACCCTCTCCATTCGTAATAGAGTTATCACCCGAATCAGCTTCAATGTAGCCTTCACCACCATCTGCAATAAAGAACACTTTAAGATCTAAACAAACATCGTAGTATTAGTCTGAGATATTTATTTCAAACTACATATTTGATCATTCAAGTGAAATAGTCAGCTTTTCTCTAGATAAAAAGGTGGATTATTTGCAATCTTCTCAAAATCTAACTCCATGACTTTCATATCATCAATAATTTGATCTCTCTCAGGCTCCAGCTCCGTTATCACCTTACCACATGCCACAACTTTCTCTCACACCGAGTCTATCTTCTTATGCAGATCATCCATTTGCTTATGCAAATCGTTCATCTGCTTTTGCATCTCTTTATACTCTGTTTTAGAGTTATCAATCTTGGCATATTCATCTGCTATGGCCTCTTCTATCAACTTTTGTTTCTCTAAAACACCTTATAGATATCAGGGACTGTATCCACGATACATGTGCTTCAAATTCAAATCCGTTGATATACAACCTTTCAAATACCTTCTTGTAGCTATCGAGTGTGCTTCTTGAAATGTCATTTATGAGATTTTCTATCGTCTTCAATAACCAGATAAAAGAGTCAACCAGACCAATCACTTCTGTTTCCCGAAGAAGTGGAAGCTCAGTTAGCAATGGTTTGAAGTGAGGGATTCGCTTTCCTTTGAAGGCCTCTAGTGCGGCTATCTTCTTCCAAATAGATGAAGTCTTCGGTAAAACAATCTCCTCAGTTTCAAAACAGTGAGGTCTAAGTTATGACAACTAAAATGGTTAAGACATACAAGTATGGTCATGTTCTCTTGTTTTCCTCTGCGGTTGAATTTTCGCTACCCTCAGGATAGTGTTCATCACTTGTATCGTCTTCACTCATAGAGTTGTTACTCATAGATTATGAAAACTATATATTTAATCAATTTATTGGTATTATATAAAGTTTGTCAAATACTTCACGTCTAAGAACACATTATACATTCGTAAACAACAGGGTAGGAAACAACACATAACATATAGTTTCTATTTTGCACTGATATCGTACCCAATGTACTTGGTCATGTTTTAAG